TATCGCAGGTGAGCAACGCGAATCACGTTAGATGCGCCTGTAAAGCTCCTGCACGGCAGCAGAGTGGAGCACGTGGTGCTGATATCGTAGGTGAGGGATACAGTGGTGCTTAGCAGACATGGGTCTCGTTTCACTGGTTGTTGAGAGGCCCATGTTGTGCTGTCGTTGCAGGTAAGCGATACAGTCCGCCTCCGCTCAAGCAGCAGCTCATTGATGTGCGCACACGGATGACTCCCGCATCCTCCCTTCCCCTCGCTCTCCTCCCTCCATCCCTTTCCACCACCCGGAAGCCTCTTTTCCCTCCTCCAGCCCCGTTACCCTCTCAGTTGGCTGCCTCCCTTCAAGCGCTGCTGGTTGAGGCGCCTTCAGCTCTCGTCCGTCCCGCGCTGTCTCCCCTCTCTGGCGGGCCTCCTCTCCAGAAGCATCTTTGACGATGACTTTAGAGTATCTTCGTTCTCCCTACCTCCCTCCCTCGCTCTCTCCCTCTCCCCGTCTCCCCCTCCCTCCTTTCCCTCCCCCTCACCAGCTGGGAGCCTCCTCGCGCCCCTCGGGTCTCTCCGCCCTGCTCTGGTCCGCCTCCCCGCTAGCAGCGGCCAGAGAGGCAGAAGAGTCGCTGGCGGCTGCGGCTGCTGCAGCTGCTGCTACAGGGGCGGAGGGGAAACGACGGGAGTTTCGGTACACGGTGGTGCGCGGAGGGAAGGTGGTGGATGAGCCTGGCAGGCAAAAGGAGGTTCAGCTGGGGCAGGTGAGAACGGGTGGGGATATGGACAGGGCAGGTGAGGACTGGGGCAAGTGAGGAATGGTGGAGATATGGACAGGGCAGCACAAGCAGTACAGAAGAAGGGAGGAAGGGGGGTTGGGTACATGGTGGTGCGAGCAGGGAAGGAGGTGGATGAGCCTGGCAAACCAGAAGGGGCTGCTGCTGGGGCAGGTGAGGACTGGGGTAGGTGAGGACTGGGGTAGGTGAGAACCGGGGCAGGTGAAGACTGGGGCGGGTGAGTGAGAGCAGACAGAATGGGTCAGCATGTTCCCCCCATAGTCTCCCCCCCACCTTCCCCACTGCGTCTCATCTCCCGTCCACTCTCCCGCATCCCCTGTCCTGTGTCTCCCCTCTTCCCACCAATTTTAGGCGCCTCAAAACTTGACGGCTCTCTGCCTCCGCTCACCCCTCCAGCACAGGAAGGACAACGCCAAGAAGGGCAGCATCTCCCGGAGGGCTTGGCAGCGGTGGTGGTGGTGCTGCTGCTGCTGCTGCTGCAGGCACTGCTTTCAGCGCCACGTCCTCGTCCTCCTCGTCCCTCCCCCGTCATCTCACTCACCATTCCCTGCCGCTCTCTGCCTCCCCTCACCCCGCCAGGGCGGCACCATGGAGGGCAGCATGTTGCGGGAGGACCTGCGAGCCGAGATACAGGCAGCGCTGGCACTGCTTCTCGTCAGTGCTCCCACGCTGATCCCTCCAGGGCGGCAATCATGCAGTGCCGCATATCGCAGGAGGACCTGGCAGCGGTGGTGCAGGCAGCTCGTGCAGTGCAGCCCCCGTCCGTGCTATCCTTCATTGCTGCACTCCTTCCTCTCCTCAGCATCCCCTCCCTCTCCGCCTCCCCTTCTCTCCCTGCACCACACCAGCGTGACTCCATCAAGGGGTGGCATATATCGAGAGGATTTGGCAGCGCTGGTGCAGGCAGCGCGTGCCGTGCCGCCTCCTCCTCCATCCCCCATCATCTTGTTCCCTGCCACTCTCTGCCTCCCTGCATCACGCCAGGATGATGCCATCAAGGGCAGCATATCTAGAGAGGATCTGGCAGTGGTGGTGCAGGCAGCGCTTGCAGTGCCGCCTCCTCGTCCTCCTCATCCTCCTCATCCTCCTCGTCCTCCTCGTCCTCCCCGTCATCTCACTCACCATTCCCTGCCACTCTCTGCCTCCCTGCATCATGCCAGAGTGACGCCATCAAGGGCAACATATCTAGAGAGGATCTGGCAGCGGTGGTGCAGGCAGCGCTTGCAGTGCCGCCTCCTCGTCCTCCTCATCCTCCTCATCCTCCTCGTCCTCCTCGTCCTCCCCGTCATCTCACTCACCATTCCCTGCCACTCTCTGCCTCCCTGCATCATGCCAGGGTGACGCCATCAAGGGCAGCATATCTAGAGAGGATCTGGCAGCGGTGGTGCAGGCAGCGCTTGCAGTGCCGCCTCCTCCGGGCCAGAGGCGGGTGGTGGAGGTGAGTGGGTGGTTGAGGCGAGTGGGGTGGTGGAGGTGAGTGGGTGGTGGAGGTGAGTGGGTGGTTGAGGTGAGTGGGTGGTGGAGGTGAGTGGGTGGTGGAGGTGAGTGGGTGGTTGAGGTGAGTGGGTGGTGGAGGTGAGTGGGTGGTGGAGGTGAGTGGGTGGTTGAGGTGAGTGGGTGGTGGAGGTGAGTGGGTGGTGGAGGTGAGTGGGTGGTTGAGGTGAGTGGGTGGTGGAGGTGAGTGGGTGGTTGAGGTGAGTGGGTGGTTGCGGTGAGTGTACTGTCTTGAGTTCACTGAAGGGTTCATGCAATGCTCTTGTGCTCACCGAGTATCCAAACTGCACTTCTACACAGACCAGGATCGTGAGCAAGTCCCAAACGTAGCATTGACAATGCTGTTACTGTGCACGGTTCACTTGCATTCCCTCCCCATCCCCCAGCACTCCGTCCCTCCATCTCCCTCCATCTCCCCCCATCTCTCCCCTTCTCTTCCCACGACGTTGAACTCTAAAATCTACAGACTTCAGCAGCTCTGCACGGCCCAATCAAACCCCCTGCCTCGCAATCCATCCTGCCTCCCTTTCTCTCCCTCTTCCTCGTCTGTTTTGTTTCCAAGGTTGTGAATTCCGAGAGCCCAAGAGACTCCAGCAATGGCAATGACTTGCCAGAGCTGCTAGCAGGGCTGCCCACGGAGGCGATTGTAAGCTGACCAGTGGTGAATTGTGGCAAGTGCTTGGTTAGTAGACTGTAACCATGTACAGCCCACGGTGCTCGTTGCATTTCTGCTTGTGTTCCTCACTGCTCGATAATGCACTGCTGTAAATAATTTATGTTCCAAGTGGAACTTCCGGGAGGAACATCACTGTACACATGAGGCTAGGTCTGTCAAACATTATTTGATGGGTTGAAGGACCATATGTAGATATGCGCCTGCTACACTCCTGGTGTTGACTTCCATTCATGTGTGCAGATACGCAGTGTCTGCAGCAGTGCATGCACTCATGCACGGGTCTGGTTCTCGGACTGCCCCTCGTCGTAATCACTCACTTTCAGATTCCGAAACTCATAGCCACACTCGTTGCTCTGCAACCACACTTTCACATTCAGTGCACATGCACGTGGCCTCCCCCTGTTCACTGCAGCCAGGGGAGGGACAGCTACTGGCGAGGATTCAGGGGGTGCTGGCACAGTGGTTTGGGGTGCTGTGATGCTTTTGACAGATGGAAGGGTGGTTAGGCTGACAAACAGGAGGGGATTGATGTAGCTGGATGACGGAAACAGGTTGGAGGGAACGAAGATGAAAGGAAGAAAGTAAGTGAGAGTAAGTGCGATGCAGAGGCTTCGAATGGCTGATGCCTAAATTTAAAAAGTAAGTGAGGGTAAGTAGGAGTGCCTGATGAGTCAAAATGGGAATTGATGATGCTCAAACTGCGAATGGTTGCAGTGACAATGGTGGCTAGTGCGAGGAAAGGATATGCATCCACAAACAGGAGCGACATGTGGGCCCATATTGCCCCTATATGCAGATGCTGTCAAATCTGTTTTCGATTGTGTGCTTTTGAATCATTGTTGCAAATTTTTATGCTTTGAGTCATATTTCCATCATTACTGCACACTGCTGCTCTCTGATCATTCCTGTTCATGCTGAGAAGCTGAACCTTTGCTGGGCATTCTGCTCATTGCTGTTCATTCTTGTTGTTCTTGTACTATTCTGGTTTGCGTTTGGTTCTTACCAATCTTGTACCTGTCTGTGCATTGCTGTTCAATGTGTTCATTGTGTTCACTGCTCATTTTCATAAATATGGTGTCAGTTTGATCATTCTGCTTTATTTCACATCATTCCTGCTCACTCTGAACAATTAAGTTCAATTATGATCATTAGTCTTCATTTTCTGTTTGTCCATATTACCCTGTTCATTCTGATACTTGTGGTCATTCTGGTTCCAATTATGATCATTGCTGCTCATTCTTATAGCTTAAGGGAGATTTGAAACATTGCTCTTCATTTCAATCATTCTGGTTTCATACTGACCCCATTCTGACAACCGTAGTCCCATGTTGACCAATGATTTTCTTTCCTGTTCCATCTTCTCATGCTGTTCACTCTGATGATTGTGTTCACTCTTAACATTCTGGTATTAATCTAAGCATATCTGTCCAATTTGACCTTCAGTTTGGATCATTGAGCTCATCTTTCTGTTCATTCTCTCATCATGCTGTTATGCCTGATGGTATTGTTCATTCTGATTAAGCAGCTAAACGTGAGGCATAGTCAGTCTACCTCTTGAATCGCTCCTCTTCACTCACCCATTTCCCCGTTTCATGCCCTCCACTCACCCACACGAACATCCTTACCAAAACATGGAAGTTAATGATTATATAACATGCACATAAATGGACATGAATACCAAGACTTAAGTGGCACGCATCCCATTCCTTACTCTCCCATCCACCACTCATTCCGTCTTTCCCACAACATCCTGCCAGGCAGGATGGAAAAAAGGGGCTGAACCCTTACCACCATCATTCCACAGCACCCCCACCAGCTTTACCTTACTTGCCATTATGCCACTTATTCAGAGCTATGCTCGACCAAACCCTACTCACCCACCTTCTCATCCGTCTCTTCCCTCCAACCTTCACACTTATTTTCTCGGGAGCAACTGAACCACTTGCAGCAGTAGCAGTGTCAACAGGAACAACAGCAGCAGACGCTTTCCTCAGAGGGGAGGGCCCACCAGGAGAACGGCGGCTGAGCTGTTTGGCGTGGTGCTCATCCTCATGGATCCTCCCAACACGGCAGGCAGCAGCATGGCCTTGAGCACCTTGCTGCCTGCTCGTGCCGTTTCTTGCTGATTCTTGAGAACTGACTGCTGCAGTATCGTGAGGCTTTTTTTGTGAGGCCTGATATTTGCTTTCTTTTTTTCTTCCTGACTCAATGGTGCTGGCAGCGTTTACTGCAGGGATCTGCACAGCAGATCTGTTGGTGGTACTGCTTGCACCGCTGGAGCTGAAGCTGCAGATCATCACGCTCCTGTTGCTCGTGTTAAGGCCCTTCTTACTGGCATCGGGATTGTTAACCAAAATCCACGGCGATTTCTTGCCTGTGGAGCTGAGAAACTCGTCCTTAGTCAGGATGGACACGTTTCCTTGACTGCTCCAGTTGCTTTCGGGGTTAGTATACCGCTGACGGAATTCCAGCAGGTCCCACTCGCTCATATACGAGAACTCGTCTTCATCATCGTCCGAGATTCTTGCCTTTTTCGCAAGAGGAGCAGCAGCAGCAGCAGGGGTGGATCGCTTGCCTGCTGCATGGCTCCAGGTGGGAGAGGCGGAAGCGGAGGCAGCAGGAAGATAGAGGCTTTTCAGTCCTGCTGGAAAGGATCCGTGGTCCTCTTCCCAGTAGAAGAGGTCGTCGGGGTCAGCCTTGCTGCAGGCAGCGAGGGTTTTCACGGCCATCAGGATTCAGATGCCAAGGCAACCTCGAGGCTTGCGGAAAGGGGGAGCAGCGAGCTGTGAGTAAAGGAAACTGTGATTCAACTGAAATGAAATGACTGTCAGACGGGGTTTTGTACTCGTGGCTACGAGCAGTGTTGGTTCTGACAGGATGAAGGAGAACGGCCTGTTTACTGACGAGCCGCTCCAGCTGACGGCGTGAGAGGAGGAGGGTTTGCCGCGTCATTTGAAAAATGAGCGGTGGCCGTTAGGGTTACGCTTTGCTGGCTGTTTCGGTTGCCACGAAATGCCGATCTGGCAGATCCAACGGCATCCGGAGCAACCACGATAGCTCGCTGTGATCTACAGTTGATGACGTCACAATCGATAATGGAGAAACTAGACACGGCGGGAAAGTCGGGCCCACCTCGTTTGAACCTTGGCTCGAAATGCTCCCGTTGGAAGTTCCAGGCATCCCAAGCACGTGGGTAGGACAGTCACACCTTAGCTTTGCTGTTCCACGTCATCGTTGACGCCAATCTGTCTCGAGATAACGCACCGACGACATGGCAATGACAGATGTCATGGGCTGCTGAAAAAACTACACCTTTAGTCCAGTGAACCGCATATTCATTAGACGCCACGTGTACCACTACAGGCCCATCGGTTCGAACACACGGGCAACGGCCCAATCCACAGAGGCCCACTAATCTCCAACAGTTACCACATCTGATACTGAGACCTTCAAACGTGCAGACGGGACGTTCTGAGGCCTCACACTGTTGCCCAAGGAACGCAAAAGAAACAACAATGGTCACCCGCTTTAGACTGAAAAAATGCCAATTACCAGACTACCCTATATTGGCCCATTTCGCCCGTGAAAGTTTTGCGCTCGATTCTGGAGTACCCGCCCGAAAAACAACAGGGCTTGAAAGGGACTTCCTGTGTACTGGCCCGACCTGCGCTGTTCACCCCCGTTGCAAGACTCTGTCGGCGTGGGCTAAGCGGACAGCAAGCACGTTGAGATTGGCTAATGGGTCAGCTATGAGGGTCTTCGGGATTGGTTGTTATCTTATTCTTGGGCGGCTTAGTCTGTGACGAAACGCGGCCAGGTCGAGGGTGTGGCAGAAGGTGAAAGCGGGAAAGATTTGGAGTTCAACCAGGTTACGCGAATGGTTACAGAGATGTTTTTTTTTACAACATCCTTATTCACGACCTTTTCATCCGTGCACAACTACACAAATTTTCAACTCTCACAGAAAGAGGACACTCCAACTGCAAAAATTTGTCTGTTGCACGAAGTTATTTCTTTTACCATTAATATCACTCACAAGATCTTCAAACATTTCATTGTCAATGATGTTCCAAGTCAAATTGGCTTTTCAGTTCCATGAAGTGTATTCCAGCTCAAACTAATAAGTGGTGCTGCCACTTGGGAAGAATGGATGGCGAGCCATACCAAGGCCTGGCCTCACTTGCCCCGACAGGCGAGTGATACACGCCATCCAATATTAGATTCTCTGCTCCCTCAAGCAGGGCAGCATCCTCCGGCACGACTCCATCCCCCCACACTTCAGCTTGCCCACAGACCTGCTTGTAGCCCTGCCCCACCATCCGTGCCTGGAACACACCTCCACCAGATGACACCTTCTGCCCAGCAGCACTATCTGACGCACTGCTGCTGCCGTCCTCACTCTCGGTGCCTGATTCCAAATCGGATATAATCACATTCGCTGCAACCCCCACTGGCTCCACATCCAGAGCAAACACACGTGCCTCTCCCCCCGCTGCTGCTGAGGCGACTGAGGCGAGGGAAGCAGGGGCTGCTGCTGCAGGGGCTGCAGAAGGGCCACCAAAGAGGGGAAGACCCTTGATGTACCTGGATTAGGATCCACCATGACGAGGTATGGGGAGAACGGGTGAGCGGTGGGAAGGTGGAAAGAGTGGCAGACTTACGAGTGATGGATATGAATCCAAAGGGACAGGCTGATTCGCAGGTCTGCAACACACTCTAGCCGGATATACGAAAAAGAAGTGAAGAGAAGGGAGCCCGCCAAAGGCAGAGGGCCTCACCTGCCCGAGACGCAGACGTATTTGACGTGGGGTGCGTGGAAGGCACCTGGCGAGACGGCCTGCATGTGCGTTAGGAGCCCCCTGGTCTGATCCACGACCCCCTGCGCCCCTGGGGGCGGGGGACTGAGATAGACGGGCGGGGGAAGGGAGACCAAAAGCGGGAGAAGCAAAACATGGGAGCAGACAAGACAAAAGCAGTTCGAGAAAGGGAAGGTGGGGGAGAGGCAAGGTGTTATAGACAGGAGTGGAACACAGGCACAGGCATGCGTCCGAGTCCGAACTCGTGCAGCACTCTTTGCTCCTGCCCTCTATCTTGCTCCCGCCCTTTACCTTGCTCCCGCCCTTTACCTTGCTCCAACAACAATTCTTGACATTTACGGCAGCCGAACTTGCTGCAGCCCGTGTTTGCATGCTCACATGTTTCTTCCTCCCCCACGCTTTGACCGTCCTTGGCCGCACACAATCTTACTTGCAAACGTAATAGCTACCCGCTTCATCTTTCACATGCTGCAACTCACCCTCGCCACAATCGCATGCCACATACTCACAGGTGCGGTGAGCCGAGTGAGAGCAGCAGTGCCACGTCAGCATGGCCATACTCAGCGAGATAGAGGCGGGCCAGCCAACCCCCTGCAGAGTGCGCTACCAGCGACACCTGGGAGCAGCCTGCAGAGGGGAGAGGGGGAAATGGGGCAGAGGGGGTATTGTACAATGGATTGAGGGAATGGGAGGCGCTTCGTACAAAAGAGTAAAAACAAAGGTTTGGGTGTTGGGAGTGCTGGTTGGGAGTGGTTGTTGGGAGTGGTTGTTGGGAGTGCTTGTTGAGAGTGCTTGTTGGGAGTGCTTGTTGAGAGTGCTTGTTGGGAGTGCTTGTTGAGAGTGCTTGTTGGGAGTGCTTGTTGAGAGTGCTTGTTGGGAGTGCTTGTTGAGAGTGCTTGTTGGGAGTGCTTGTTGAGAGTGCTTGCTGGGAGTGCTTGTTGGGAGTGCTTGTTGGGAGTGCTTGTTGGGAGTGCTTGTTGGGAGTGCTTGTTGGGAGTGCTTGTTGGGAGTGCTTGCATCATGAGTGTCACCTGGGACTCTCTTCTTGGCTGCCGCCACAGCTGCTGCCACCCGTTCCAAGTACCTGGCATCGATGCGCAGAGGGACACAGAGGCACAGAGACACAGACAGGCTCCGATAAAGATTTGCAGGGACAGAACGGCGGCATCGAGGGCACAGAGACATACACAGTGTATGAATACAACGCCGGCAGCCGCCCCAACAGGCGACCCAACAGGCGACCCAACAGACGACCCAACAGGCGACCCAACAGGCGACGCAACAGGCGACCCAACAGCCGAACCAACAGGCGACCCAACAGGCGACCCAACAGGCGACCCAACAGCCGACCCAACAGGCGTCCCAACAGGCGACCCAACAGGCGACCCAACAGGCGACCCAACAGGCGGCCCAACAGGCGTCCCAACAGGCGTCCCAACAGACGACCCAACAGGCGACCCAACAGGCGTCCCAACAGGCGTCCCAACAGGCGTCCCAACAGGCGTCCCAACAGGCGTCCCAACAGGCGACCCAACAGGCGTCCCAACAGGCGTCCCAACAGGCGTCCCAACAGGCGTCCCAACAGGCGTCCCAACAGGCGTCCCAACAGGCGTCCTAACAGGCGACCCAACAGGCGACCCAACAGGCGACCCAACAGGCGGCCCAACAGGCGTCCCAACAGGCGTCCCAACAGACGACCCAACAGGCGACCCAACAGGCGTCCCAACAGGCGACCCAACAGGCGACCCAACAGACGACCCAACAGGCGACCCAACAGGCGTCCCAACAGGCGTCCCAACAGGCGTCCCAACAGGCGACCCAACAGGCGTCCCAACAGGCGTCCCAACAGGCGTCCCAACAGGCGTCCCAACAGGCGTCCCAACAGGCGTCCCAACAGGCGTCCCAACAGGCGACCCAACAGGCGACCCAACAGGCGACCCAACAGGCGGCCCAACAGGCGTCCCAACAGGCGTCCCAACAGACGACCCAACAGGCGACCCAACAGGCGTCCCAACAGGCGACCCAACAGGCGACCCAACAGACGACCCAACAGGCGACCCAACAGGCGTCCCAACAGGCGTCCCAACAGGCGTCCCAACAGGCGTCCCAACAGGCGTCCCAACAGGCGTCCCAACAGGCGTCCCAACAGGCGTCCCAACAGGCGTCCCAACAGGTGTTCCACCTCTGGTTTCGGCAATTCCACCTCGCCACACCAGCCGTTGCAATCTGTTTCACGTGTTTGCCAGCTTGATTAACCAGACGGAGCCCATTGTACATCGCTCCCCCAGCCCCAGGTACCTGTTTGCGGCCCCATCTACCTGCTCGTCTATCCGTCTCACTGCCCACGTGCCCAGCCCTGCCCATGTGGTGAGTCTCTCTCCATTCTACACCCATCCTCATGCCAATCCTCCTTGCACCATGCGACCCCTGTCTCTATGGAAACCACTCCAGTGCTACAACGACAGCAACCCAGTTGTTGCCACGTGGCAACCGACTACCATGTCGTGTGCTTTAACCACAACGGAGTCAGGCTCGGGCCGGACCAGGCCGCCAACCCACCAGTCCAGGATCGGGCGAGGCTTGAGAGTTCCCTTCCAGTAGTCCGCTTGCAGGAGCCCCGCGGCGTTCCGCAGCCAATCAGGTCGCGCCACGCGGGCCACCTCCACCGCCACGCCCTGCGTCTCCAGCAGCGCCACGAGCTCGGCGTAATCCGCCGAGTTGTTGCCCAATCCCTGCTCGCCAGGCACGCAAATTGTTCCATAAACGGGGTACACGCTTATAGCGGTGAAAGGGTGACGGAATTCGGTGTGAGGGGATTCGGTGAGACGGATTTCGGTGTGACGGATTCAGGTAGGACAAGGCGGATGTGCTGCGCGTTCGTATTAAGGCGTGGCGCGTGGAGCTGGGAGCGGGGAGCGTGGAGAGAGGACCAGGGAGCACGGCGGATGCAACATTAGGCAGTCTGGGTTCCAAATGTCCCAAAATTGCCTCGAGACTCCTACCTTTGGTTGAGAGTTCCCTAGGAGAACTACTCGACAACCAATCCCGTCCTCCTATCCAACCAACCTTCCTACCGTTGAACTGCTTGGCCCGCGGGTGGGGGGGGGGTGAACCAACTACTACTGAGCCGAGCGCCACGCAGCGGCTAAAATCGGGGTGGGGGGGTGAAGTTGGGGAGGGACATGCGACAGCGGAGGAGGGCGGCGCATACCGGAAGAATGACAACTGGCCGCACGGGTTGCTTCCCCTCACTGCTGATCTGCTCCAACTCCACACTCGAGCCCGTCTCGCCTCCTCCCGCGGCTATGGCCGCCGCTGCTCGTGCGTTCGCTGCGCGTGCCTTGGTAGTTTTCTGTCTCTCGATCGGAGCAGCCTTGACGGATGGGAATGTGCCGTGCAGCGAACTTCGCAGACCCTCGCACGAAAGGCTCGGAAATGGCCGTGATGTAACGGATTCCGTCAACGGAACGGAATCAGTCCGACCTACTACGGACCCAGGAAATAGAGCGCTTCGGCAGCAGAGGCTGGTCGAGGAGGCCATCAGGCGAAACGGAAATCCGACCGTCAGCGTCTTTCGTCTCGAGAACGCTTGTGAATATTCTAACCACCGTGACGAAGCGGCTAACAACGGGTGAGTGCCGAGGGAGAGGCGGAAACCGGAGCCGTGGGGACGCAAGCAAATCGGACTAAACTTGTTTGAAGACTGTCTCAACTAAGCTGTACACAAGAGACGGCAGTGGCCGCAAGAGCGGAGTATGCGAGTATGGAGCATGGAGAATGTGTGCCTCCCTCCCCCCACCTGGACATGGCACTGCAGCCTCGGACCAGCGAGGCTCGGAATCAAGGTGGGGATGGTTGACGGATTGGTGGTGGTAACAACAGACGGAGCGCCACAGAGAGTTGACGGAACAGCAATGGCACAATGGGCTCTGGGGAAACCATCTGGCTCTAGACCACTGTAGGGGTGACGGTCTGGGTGGATGTGACGGCCGTCATTGCAGGTGGACTGTTTTCTTCGCTCCTTCCATTGACGGAAGAAGCAGTCGGACCGACGGAGCAACAAATGATCTGAACTTGAACCGTACCACCGATTTGATGCCTAGGCTGACAGAAAACCCGACTGATGGTTTGGGCGAGCGGAGCCGCGCATTCCTGGCCAGTCGACGACGCAACGCAGCATCTGGCCCTCGTTCGCTCCTGCATTCCAACGAATTCGAGACTGACACGTTGAAGGAACTCTTCGGTACACCCGGACGCATAAACCGTACAATGAAGTGGTTTGGTACAAGGCGTATGGCTACGTAGTTGTTGCGAGGTCGAACTCTGCCATATTCCCCCACTTATAGCACTACCAACACAAGGAATATCACATCACTACTCATGAAACACTTGCATGTGGAGGAGGATGATTACAAAATACAACGCAGGCTACATCAGCTGGTTAGCTCTATTACAGCGTACAAGTGCTTGAAATGCAATGCACGGTAGGCACACCCACCCGACCCGACACCCTATCCACCTCAACGTGTGCCGCCACGGGCAGGTGGCACATAGCGCACGCTCGGCCCGGCAATGGATTCGCGAAAGTGCAGTGCTCACACGACCAATACGCCGTCTCTTCCCGCTCCCTCCCCCCAGCATTCCCCACAGTCACCGCCGCTGCCGCCGCCGCTGCAGCAGCAGCTGCTTGCGATGACGACGACCGGAAAATACCTCCCCGACTCGACCCTGCCCCAGCTGCTGCCGCTGCCCCAGCAGAGCTGCTAGGGCCAGCAGCAGAGGAGCCAGCGGCGGAGGTGGAGGCGGTGGCAGCAGCAGCGGTGGTGCGCGACCGGCTGCGGCCGCCGAAGCGTGACTGCTGGATGCGCGACGTGCTGGCGATGGCCCGGCCGGCCGCAGCTGCGGCAGCGGCAGCAGCGGCGCGGGTGGAGGAGGCGGCAGTAGAGGCGTTCTCCACGTCTGCTAGGCCGTTCTCGAGGGCCCGAACCAGGTTCTCAAAGTAGGTGTGCGTCACACTGGAGACACGAGCAAGGGGTCACCAGGCAGTGGAGGAAGGGAGGGGATTCAATGCCACTGCATGCAAGGCCAAGCTAGAGTCATATTTCTACATGCCCCAAGTGTGGAGCACAGCTGTGACTAGAGAAGGCAAGTGGAACAGTTGCCCAACCCAATATCCCCATCGTCAATCCACACACCACACCTGGTCAGTCCAGCCAGCCGCGAGCACAAGTCATTAAAAAGTGTAGGCGGCGGATCCGCGTCGTTGCAGATGTACAGCTGAAGGTCCCTCTCAGCTGTCTTGTGCAAATCCTGACTCTCACACGCTGCACCCACTTACCCACCCTTGGTCACCTACTCCATCCATGTATCCATCTCACCTGGTGAGCCCAGCCAGTCTCGACCGGAAGTCATTGAAGGGCGTGGGCGGCGGGTCCCCGTCGTCGCAGATGTAGAGCTCGAGCTCCTTCTCCGCCATCTTGTGCAGATTCTCCAGCGCTGCGTCCGCCTCGCCCTGCAGGTACTCAAAGAACTGCCGCCGCGCCACCTCCGCCTCTGGGAGGTAATACCCATAGGCGTACGTCCACTTCAATACACGGCGGCACTCCACCACCTGGGGGAAGAAGGGGGGGAGAGGGTGCATATAGGGTTTGAGTGACCACCTCCTCCACCTCCTCTGCTGGCTCGCCCTGCAGGTACTCAAAGAACTGCCGCCGCGCCACCTCCGCCTTGGGGAGATAGAGCCGTACGTGTGCGTCCACTTGAGCACATGGCGGCACTCCACCACCTGGCGTAGAAGGCATGGGGACCGTAGATGCAGGGTTAGTGTGACCACGTCCGCCTAGGGGAGATACTAGCCGTAGGCGCACGTCCATTTCAGTACACAGCAGCACTCCACTAAGGAAGAGCAGAGGGTTACGGACCGACCACTTCCGCAAAGGACAAATAAAAGCCGTAGGTGTAGGTCCGCTTCAATATAAGACAGCACTCCATCACCTAAAGAGCACGAGCGACGAGGAGTCAGGGACGAGGGGTGTATAGGGCAAGCAGTAGCCGTCGGCCTAGGTGCACTTGAGTACACTCGATTACCCTCCACTGGCACTCCACAATGTGGAATTGAGAAGGAGAGGCCAACATGGGGGAAGGAAAGAGCACACAGGGTTTGCGTGCCCCTAGGAAAGCGGAGGAAAAAGGGTGCAATTTACCCGCAGCCATGGTGATCAACCTGAAGCCATGGCCATTCACCTGAAGCCATGAGGATTCATCTGAAACTATGAGAAATCACCTGAAGCCACGCATCGATGACGAACTTGAGCTGTGAGACCGGCTGGCTGTGGCGCTCACTCAGCTGCTCGATCTGCCATTGGGGAGAAGCGGTCACAGCCGAGGCACGCCCAGCACAGCCGAGGCACGCCCAGCACGCCAGCCACATCCCAAGACAAACCCAGCAGCCCCCAAACCAAGACAGACCCAAGCAACAGTTCCACAGAGAAGGGATAGGAATGTGAACGAGAGGACGAACAGATGACCGACCACAAGCCACTCAAGTGGACGAGAAGACAAACCAGCCCAGAGCATGCTCGCGCATTTGAAAAGACAAACCAGCCCGCAGAACGGGACGAATTTGAGCATACCTTGACAGTCTGCATCTCACGCAGCGACTCTAGCGCCTTCACTCTGGACTGCAGGTGGGGGGAAGAGGAGTGGGAAGAGGAGTGGGAAGAGAGAACAGGAAGGATAGAAGGGATTTGCAGAGGGGAAAGAACGAAGTGCATGCAGACCAAGAGACAGGCAGTCAACGCAAATCAACTCCAGACGGCACTGCTCACATTGCCCCATTTCTCACCTGCTCGCTGGCCCCATTCACCCACCTGCTCGTTCGCGGCCCATCGTCTTCAAATCGTGCGCGTGAGTCCTTCACCTCACGCACTCATTGCCTTCCATCGCCCCTCCCACACCACCCCTCCCTTCTGGCTTACCTCTTCATCCGCCCCCCATCGCCCACCTGCTCATTGGCGGCCCATCGCCCACCTGCTCATTGGCGGCCCATCGCCCACCTGCTCATTGGCGGCCCATCGCCCACCTGCTCATTGGCCGCCCATCGCCCACCTGCTCATTGGCCGCCCATCGCCCACCTGCTCATTGGCGGCCCATCGCCCACCTGCTCATTGGCGGCCCATCGCCCACCTGCTCATTGGCGGCCCATCGCCCACCTGCTCATTGGCCGCCCATCGCCCACCTGCTCATTGGTGGCCCATCGCCCACCTGCTCATTGGCGGCCCATCGCTCGTAGTAGTGCGTGTACTTCTCCAGTGAGTTCTTCGCCATCTCTCTCCGCCTCTCCGTCTCGTCGTACTGCATTAAGGGGGTGTGCAATAAGGGGGGTAGGCACGTCAGAGGAAGGGGAGATAACGTTACAATGCAGAGGGGAGAGGGAGTGACACAGAGGCGATTGAGAAACAGTCTAGGGCACAAGGCAGCAAGAAGAAAGCTAAACCGGGATTACGAACACAGTTCGGCGATGAGCTCAATGGACACTAATTATTGCATGCATAACGGTGCCACGGGAACCCAGCAAATTCCACAAGAAATGGAGGTGGATAAAGGGAGAAGGGGACGGAAAAAGGAGGGGGGGAAAGGGGGGTGGGGAGAAGAGTGTTCAACGGTAGGAGGGAACGGTGACAGGTGAGCGGGACTGACAAAGTTTGAGAAAGAGTCGCTGGGAGAAAGGGAGGAGGAGACAGGCGAGAGGGGGGCGTGAAAGGCCAGTGCACACACCACTCCTTCGTGCTTGGCTGACTCGTATCGGTTGCACGCGTAGAACCCGCCCGTCTTCTCTCCGTGCTCCGACCACGCTCCTAGACACAGCCTGTGAGGGCGGAAGGGTGGGGTGATGGTGACTGGTCAAGCGAGAGCCAACATGTGCTTCTGGAACGTAAAATGCACGTGGAACAGAGGGCGGAGGAGTCGCAGAGGAAGAAAAAAAGGGCGAATAGGAGGGAAGGAAAGAGACCAGGTTTGATCGTGCAAAAAAAAAACACACACACACACAAAGAAACAGATTCTGGTGGTGCATGACTGTGCTGTGCCATTTCAAATTCGCTCAAGCTGTTCCCAAAACCAAACGAATGGCATGGCATGGCATGGCATGGCAGCGCACCAACAGAACTCGTATTTGCAGGGCGGCGTGCACGTCATATGCATGCACCCCTGGTTCTTCTCAATCGGCCGCTTGCACTTGGGACACGACTTGGAGTTGGCCAGAATCCTGGGGGTCGGACAGGAATGGGAGGAATTAGAATGCAGGATACAAGGAGGTGCCTTTGGAGTCGACTCAAAAGTCGCCTCATTGGAGGGCAGCATGCAAAGAATTCAGATGCTGCAGGAAAGGAAAAAACTCCGAAAGGAATTCGCAAATCCATATAGCAGAAATTTGCAGCAAGCACACGCCACAAAATGCAGAGACCCCAGTAATGATTCTCTCTGAGCCCCGTCCGTCCATATTTTGAGGCGCCTCAAAAGGCGTGCGTGCGTACCAGTTCATGTTTTCCGACTCGGCGCTGTTCTTGAGAATCCACTTGCCCACTGTCTCACAGTCCACCGGCCGATGCGCCTCCTCCAAGCACTGGCGCGGGAGATAGGAAGGGTATATGTGAAGAGCACTAGGACATAAATGGGTGGAGTTCTCGAAGCTGAGTGGGCAGTGGAGGGAAAGACATGGTGGCGGCGAGTGGGGGCGTGTTTGAGAGGAGGAAAGGGGAGAGGAAACAGGGAAGCGGGTTGAGAACGAGGGGGAGTGATAGTTCACGGATGGATGAACGTGCATGGCGCGGGGAGCGTGAGAGGCAGGTGGAGAGAGCAAGAAAGAGAGGAAGGGAGGGGCGGAGGGACGAAGGATAAGAAGCAAGGGACGGACGGACGGACGGACGGACGGATGGAGGGACGGACGGAGGGACGGATGGAGGGACGGATGGAGGGACGGACGGACGGACGGACGGACGGACGGACGGAGGGACGGACGGACGGACGGATGGAGGGACGGACGGAGGGACGGATGGAGGGACGGATGGAGGGACGGACGGACGGACGGACGGACGGACGGATGGAGGGACGGATGGAGGGACGGACGGAGGGACGGATGGAGGGACGGATGGAGGGACGGACGGACGGACGGACGGACGGACGGACGGAGGGACGGACGGACGGACGGATGGAGGGACGGACGGAGGGACGGATGGAGGGACGGATGGAGGGACGGACGGACGGACGGACGGACGGACGGATGAGGGACGGATGGAGGGACGGACGGAGGGACGGATGGAGGGACGGATGGAGGGACGGACGGACGGACGGACGGGACGGACGGAGGGACGGACGGACGGACGGATGGAGGGACGGACGGAGGGACGGATGGAGGGACGGATGGAGGGACGGACGGACGGACGGACGGACGGACGGATGGAGGGACGGATGGAGGGACGGACGGAGGGACGGATGGAGGGACGGATGGAGGGACGGACGGACGGACGGACGGACGGACGGATGGAGGGACGGACGGAGGGACGGATGGAGGGACGGATGGAGGGACGGACGGACGGACGGACGGAGGGACGGATGGAGGGACGGACGGAGGGACGGATGGAGGGACGGACGGAGGGAGAGAGGCCAGAAGCGGAAAGGACGGGGGAGAGCGGTGGGGGGCGGTGCAAGTGAATGTTGCGCAAGGAGCAATAGGCAACTGACTCGCTTGCAACGCCCCCCACCGCTCTTGCCGTCCTTTCCGCTTCTTGGGTGGGACTCACGTTCCAGCAGAAGCCGAAGGAGCACTTGCACATGACGTCGTAGTGCGTGGAGTCCGGCAGGTACTCCACCGCGTACTCACACCCTGGCGCCGGGCACCACTTGGCCTGCCGCATGGGCGAGGGAGGGAGGAAGAATTGGGAGAGCCCCGGGAGGGGGGAGGGAGAGGGAGCGGACGGTTGTTAGGAGATGGCGGCAGGTAATCCACTGCACACTCGCACCCGAGGACTGGCATCACTTGGCTCGACGCATGGGCGAGGGGGGGGGGGTGGGGGGGAGGGGGGCAAGGGGGGGGTGGGGGAGGGAAGGGGGAGAGGGGCTGTTACCACTCACGTTGCGGTTGTCGTCCACATAGGAGCGCAGCAGGTAGTTGAGGTACTTGGCACGTCGAATGCACTGAAGAAGCCATCAAACCACCCCAGCAACAACCCGTTCTGTCACCCCAATCACCGATGCCACTCACATTCCTTTTGAGGCGCCTCAAAGGCACCCCAATCACCATTCCCACTCACATTCCGGTTGTCGTCCACGTAGGAGCGCAGCAGGTACTTGAGGTACTTGGCGCGCAGGGCGTCTGGCAGCGAAGCCAGCACCAGCTTCTCCCCCACCGCCGCCCCGCACGACGGGTCGGGGCACCGCAGACACAGACACCCCGGGCCGTCCGCCACCGCTGCCTTGGCGTAGCCTGGTGAGTGATAGAGGGAGGGAGGATGAGCAGGTGAGGGGGCGCAGTGAGAACAGGGCAAATCAGTAAAGAAGCGAGTCTGCCCCTCCTGCCCCTCCCTCCCCCACCCCTGCCCTGCCCTGCACGCGGGGACGGGGCATCGCAGACACGCACCCCCAGGGCCGCCCGCCCCCGCTGCCTTGGCGTGGCCTGAGAGGGGGCGAACGGAGGAGAGGGCCGGGAGGGGAGAGGGGCGAGGGCCCAGAGGGTTAGTGCAGTAGAACAGCAGCAAGCAGACACAAACAGCCCAGCTCGTCCGCCACTGCTGCTTTGGCGTAGCCTGGAAGGGGGGGAGGGGGGAGGGCTGGGGGGAGGGCAGGCGGGAGGGCAGGGGGGAGGGCGGGGAAGAGGGCGGGGAGGGCGGGGAGGGCAGGGAGGGCAGGGAGGAGCGCAGGGGGGAGGGCGGGGAGGAGGAGGGGGAGGGCGGGGAGGGCGGGGAGTGCAGGGAGGACAGGAAGGGCAGGGAGGCCAGGGAGGAGGGCGGGGAGGGCGGGGAGGGCAGGGAGGGCAGGGAGGGCAGGGAGGGCAGGGAGGGCAGAAAGGAGGGCGGGGAGGGCGGGGAGGGCAGGGAGGGCAGAAAGGAGGGCGGGGAGGGCGGGGAGGGCAGGAAGGGCAGGGAGGAGGGCGGGGAGGGCGGGGAGGGCGGGGAGGGCAGGGAGGGCAGGGAGGAGGGCGGGGAGGGCGAGGAGGGCTAAGGCCGTACCTCTCCAGCAGGCGTCGCAGAAGAAGTGGTCGTTGCACTCTGCTGGCTTCATGGCGGCCTGGGGGTAGCTCTCAAAGCAGATGCCGCACGTCAGATGGGGCTGGCAACGCGAGGGATGGGGAGGGGCAGATACGGACACGATGAGGGGAGGGGGAGGATAAGGGGCACGAAGATGGGAGGGGGGCGGCGAGAGAAATGACCCACAGTAAGGGGGGGAGCAGGAAGATACATCCATTCACCATCCACTCACCATCCATTCACCATCCATTCACCATCCATCACCATCCAATCACCATTCATCACCATCCATTCACCATCCATCACCATGCATTCACCATCCATTCACCATCCATTCACCATCCATTCACCATCCATTCACCATCCATTCACCATCCATTCACCATCCATCACCATCCAATCACCATCCATCACCATCCATTCACCATCCATTCACCATCCATTCACCATCCATTCACCATCCATTCACCATCCATTCACCATCCATTCACCATCCATTCACCATCCATTCACCATCCATTCACCATCCATTCACCATCCATTCACCATCCATTCACCATCCATTCACCATCCATTCACCATCCATTCACCATCCATTCACCATCCCTTCACCATCCCTTCACCATCCATCACCATCCATTCACCATCCATCACCATCCATCACCATCCATTCACCATCCATTCACCATCCATTCACCATCCATTCACCATCCATTCACGATCCATTCACCATCCCTTCACCATCCCTTCACCATCCCTTCACCATCCATTCACCATCCATCACCATCCATTAACCATCCACTCACCATCCATCACCATCCAGCACCATCCATCACCATCCCATCACCATCCCTTCACCATCCATTCACCATCCATTCACCATCCATTCACCATCCATTCACCATCCATTCACCATCCATCACCATCCATTAACCATCCATTAACCATCCACTCACCATCCATCACCATCCATCACCATCCCATCACCATCCATTCACCATCCATTCACCATCCATTCACCATCCGTCACCATCCAATCACCATCCATCACCATCCATTCACCATCCATTCACCATCCATTCACCATCCATTCACCATCCATTCACCATCCATTCACCATCCATTCCCATCCATTAACCATCCACTCACCATCCATTCACCATCCATTCACCATCCATTCACCATCCATTCACCATCCATTCACCATCCATTCACCATCCATTCACCATCCCTTCACCATCCATTCACCATCCATTCACCATCCATTCACCATCCATTCACCATCCATTCACCATCCATTCACCATCCATTCACCATCCATTCACCATCCATCACCATCCATTCACCATCCATCACCATTCATTCACCGCCACCACCATGTGGGCTCCCACCCACCGCCTCACTCCACCACAGCTGCACCACTTGACTCGTGGCCACTACACCCTTACTCCTTACCCCCTCACCCCCTCACACCCCCCAACCCCCCACTCCCCTCCCTCACTCACTCCCCTCACCCCCCCTACCCTCACCCCCCTCACTCACTCCCCTCACCCCCCTCACTCCCTCCCCTCACCCCCCTCACTCACTCCCCTCACCCCCCTCACTCCCCTTGTCCCTTGTCCCCACACTCCTCCTCACCAACCTACGGCCCCTGCAGCGCCTCACCTCGGGCTCTTTCCCGGGCCTCCTGTCCGAGGCTGCGGACGAGGTTGGGGAGTGCGGGCGCGGCAGCCCCACGGCCTTCCGCACGCGGTCCTCGTCTTGGAACCACTCGTCGTTCACCTGGCTCACGCTCCTGGGGGAGGGGGGGTGGGGGGGACGAGAGACGTGCAAGAGAAGAGGACACAAGGAAAACGAGACACCCGTGCTGAGCCACAGCAACACCAGCCTTAAAGGTGCGTCATAAGCTGCCCTCCGCACGCTGTTCTCGCCTTGGAACCACTCGTCGCCCACCTGGCTCACGCTCCTGGGGGGAACGAGAGCCGAGAGGCGGGAATAATGGGAGGCGGCAAGGTGAGGACGGGCAGGAGACGAGGGGACGACGCACGAGCAACACCACACCACACCACACACACACACACACACACACACACACACACACACACACACACACACACACACACACACACACACACACACACACACACACACACACACGCCCTTGCTGAAACACAGAAAAGCCTGCGTTTCCCTGCTCTCCCTCTCTGTGTCCTGTGACACGGGCATACGGTGGAGATTAACCAAAACTCGGGGGATACAGGGACACGGGAACGTCCAGAGTGAGGAAATCCATCCGAAGGTCAGGAATTGGCCGACCATTCGAAGCGCCTCACCATTCACAGCGACTGACCATTTGAAGTGCCTGAGCAGGATGGCGGCGTCGTCGGTGGGGATGGAGAGCACGGTCGCCACGTCGCTGATCGCCTCCTGCTGCCGCTGCAGAATGTCCTTCTCCGAGAGGATCTTGTACCGCACCTGCGCGATTAGAAAGGATTCAGATTAAAAAATAAAATAAAAAAAAATCCCCAAATTCATCAAGAAAACGAAACCAGCGCCCGCCGTTCTCATGTGCTGCTGCTGGAGAATGTCCTTCGCCGAGCGAATCTTGTACCGCATCTGAGAAGGATTTAGAATTCGCAAGGACTTCGGATTCGACCCACAGAGGGATAGGCGCCTGATGGTTCTAATATACGGAAAAACAAAGAGAAGCGGTGCCTAGGTAGCTAAGAAAATGACGGACGGGCGTTAGACATAATCGCGGAAAGGCGGTTATGTCTACTAGAGGCGAGCAGCACTAATGAGACAAACACGGCGACGCGATGGAACAGCGCCACGATGCGAGGGACGCGCATGCGGACACCGGCACCGGCACCGACACGGACCTGTCTGGGTCGCAGCACGGGATCGTCGTCGTCGACGTCTGGATCGTCGAAGCCGTAGTCCTCGTCCTCCTCCGAGTCCTCCACCTGCTCGTCGTCCGAGTCCTGGTAGTAGTCCTCGTCGCTGTTTGACATCCTGATCCACGCGACTGGGAACGGCCTTCTCAGTTCTAGCGACGAACGACGCTTTTCGGGACGATTTCCAGTCGAAGTTACTGCGGATTCGAGGAGGAAGCGGCAGGCTGTAAATCTGCCGATACGCCTCGAAATCCTACAAGAAATATAATAGGGAAAGTCAGTCGTTTATTGAAAGCCGATACGCCTCGAAATCCTCGAGCCTGACTCTTGAGCACCGTGTTCGCTAGCAAGGATCTCTAAGCCTATTTAGTGAGCGGCTCTCTTCCCCAGAGCTTTATGCCAGGCGTCGGATTTCTAAGCTTTATTCGACCCTTAGCAGACACTACTAAGCCCCGAAATCCGACTGCTGTTCGCTTTCTAGCGCAATTAGGTCTGCGAGCCAGCGAACACTGAGCAGCAACAGCGGAATCCTCGAACAAGCTGGCTGCGTGCAACCAGGTTGGTCTGGTCAGTCGAGCAGGGTCAAACGACCGCCACACAACACAAGCTCTAGGCCCTGCACTGGTGCACTCAACTGTAGCTTTATCCTGTATTTCGATACTATCGGAGCACACTACGAGAGGGATGCACTGCCCTTTGCTGGGCGTTTGGCGTTGCGTACTCGTTTCATTGCTGAAACGATCACGTTACGTGTGCCGTGTGATTGCGGAAGAGGCGAAAGTTGAGTGTGGCTCAAGCGACGGCTTGCGAAACCCTGGACAAAGATTTTTATATACCCGATACAGAAACATTGTGTGATAATGTACACACCAGGTACCCATAACAAAACGAAACATAGGTATACCCAATCAACATTTGATGCTTCACCTTCCGCTTGTAGTCGGTTGGACACACACTCACATAGTGAGCTACTAAGGGTGTGTCATTAGCGTTTAAATAATTGCGGTTCTTATACTCAAGCCAGTAATGTACATCTTTATTTAGCTGCAGGAACAAAATCCTTCAGACAAATGAAGCCCAGGACAATGCGTGCCCAGGGTGCACTGCAGTGGCTACTTTCACCGATGCACCTTCACTCGCTCCCTCTCCAATCACCACCTCCGTTGCAACACCGCCAGCCACCTTCACATCTGTGTGCTTCGCAGGGTTTCTCCCCCGTATCCTGGCAACCCTCCATTTGCGCAGTTCTTGCTCCTCCTGCTCCAACTCCTCCTTCCTCCTCCTCTGGTCCCTCACCTCTTCCACCCTCCTGTACGGCTCTTCAACGTAGTCCGGCTGAAACAGCCTGTCCCGGTGCCGCTGGTTGCCTTTCAGGACGTTGGTCCGCACCACTCCTATGTGCTGAAAGAGCGACGGAATGTGCACGTACGCACGTCGGCGACCATCTCCTACCGTAACACCGTCACTACCACTGGCATTATCACTGGCACTACCACCATCAGCATCACCAGAACCACCATTATCAGCACCCGAACCACCACCAGTGCCACCACTGCCACCACTGGCAGTGGTGAGGTACTCATGGATCAGCAGGTCCAATGGTGTCCTCATAAGGCCAGACTCAATATGCTCTAACAAGCCACCCACTGTGGACGCGTTGAATAGCAGCGCCTGTGCGCAGCATGGCACTGTGTACTCCGATCCGTGCGTCAGCTGCCAGCCATAGGTCTGCGGATAATAGAGTGACAGCACATCCCAAGCAGGGTATGCAAACTGTCGCTCACGCCCCATTGTACCACTCTCCCTCTTCCACCCCCTTCCACCCTCGCTCTCCCCCTCCCTTTCCTGCTCCTGCTCCTGCTCCCCTTTCATCTCCCCCTCTCTCTCCTCCTCCTTCTCCCTATCCCGCGCCGACACCAATCTAGGCAGGTCAACCCCAATAAACCTCTCAATCCCCACGTCCCACAGCCACGTGGGCACCACGTCATCCTGCAGCAGCAGCACAAACCTCGCCCCAGTGCCCGCGCACTGCCGCACCACGTGCACCGTGTCCATTGCCAGCTTCACGTGCCACCGCCACCGCTCCCACCCCTCGCTCTCCACCACCCCCGCCGGCACTTTGGTAAGCATCAGCCGCGGGTCGTCGAGGAAGGAGCAGATGGCGGGGTGCGCTGGGAGGACATGGACGGGGAGGGAGAGGGAGGCCGCGGTGGAGAGGATTGCGGCGGTGTGGGGAGCGGTGAGGGGGTTGAGGCGCGCGGCGATGGCGAGGGTGGTGACGAGGGCGCGAGTGGAGGCGAGGGAGGTGTTGGTGGCCCGGGCGAGGCGGCGTGCAGCCAGGTCGTAGGAGGCTGGGATGTGGAAACGAGCGGGGGAGGAAGAGGAAGAGGAAGAGGAGGAGGAGGAGGAAAAGGGGCCTTCTTTTTCTGTGCCTTGATTCCGCTCAACCTCATTTAAGGATTCGCTACCGTCTCCATCCTTCCCTTTCCGCGTTTCCGCCACCTGTTCCGCCATCTTCCGCACATCCCGCACCTGGCATCCCCCGCTGTACACTATCACGCGAATTGCGCGGTCAAACAGCCCCGCGCTCCTCTCCGCCATTGCGCGCGCCTTCCCCGTGACTCCACGGGGCCGTCCCCCCGCGCGCAGGCCGTCGAGCGCCGAGAGCAGGTTCGTGACAGTGAACCACGGCGGGCGCACTCTCCGCGGGTCCGGGCGCGGGGAAGACGCGATCGCGATGCACAGCCCGCTTCCGCTTCCGCCGACGCGGCGGAGGCGCCGCTTGCGGGCGCGATTGCGCTTCCCGCCGCTGCTGGCTGTGCTGGCGTTGTCATGCCGGCTCGACGCAGACAGCGGCAAGTGCGGCAAGTCCGAGACGGCAGAATGCGGATAAACGGTACGCGGGACGCGAAGAGCGAAGAAATCGGCGGGTAAGAGGCTGCGGAGATGGAGCGGGTGATGATGATGGGTGGAGTGCCGTTGGAGTGAGCGAGATGAGGAGGAGTTGGTGAGTTCGTCACTGGCTGACTGGACGCTGTTCGACTTCACTAAAGTGGAATCTGTCAACTTCGGAGAATAATCAGTAAGAACTTGTGACTTTATCGGGAACGTCTCCGCTCGTGCAGGCTCTTCGCGATGAATGCGGCGTCGTGCACAGATCACTCCGACTACCAGAACAGAAACGACGAGGGAAGTGAGAAATTTCAGCGCTGCGGCGGCACGACGCACTGCGATGGGGCCGCGAGGCTTTGCGGAGATTAATTTTGACAACTGAGCGCGTCGACGAGGCATCGACGTCTGTGCTGGTCGTCCTAAGTGCTCAGGAGGTCGCATCGCAGGTATGCAGTAGCTATGCACAGAGCTGACAAAGGGCTGGGCGGCTGAATGCGTAAACAGATGATTCGTTACTAGGTGAAATGGTGAACGATATATTTCGTGCATTCTGGACCAAGAAATCTAGAATATATTTTTAGTGTAGCCTCGGCGGGGGATGAGCGAATCCCAAAACGTTTGTCATCGCAGTCCCCAGTAGGTTTCCTTGCCACCCAAGCTGTAGTGCTCCCGCCACAATCGTAAACCCTAATTTCCCCCTCGCCTCTTCCCCTTCAGCCACTCAGCTCTCCAAACCTCCGCCACACATCCGCAAGCCCTGGCTCTTCCCCCCGCCCTCTTCCCCCCTATCCCTTCCCCCTTTGCCCTTTCTTCCCCAACCCCGGATCTCCCACCCTCCCTTCCTGCATGAATTCCCTCCCTGCTTCACCTCTCCCTCGCTGCTCGCTCGCTCTCCCTCCCACCCACCTTGCCCTCTCACTCGCCGGGCCCTGCCCCTCAAGTTTTTTCCTTCAACTAGTTTCTGCTCCTTTTCCCTTCCTCCCTCTCCTCGTGTTGACCTGACTCCCCTCCAACCATGGTGAAGTACCGGGTGCGTAAGTCTTCGTAGTGCCGTGAATCCTATCAGTGCCTGGAGATTACGGTTACCTCTTCTTACCCGTCTCCTTCCTCGCACCGAATTTTCGCCGCCTAGTTCCTCCTCCTGCTGTCGATATGCTGAGGTGTCCGTTGTCTCGGGCATTTTGAGGCACCCCAGCTCACGTCGTTCGCCACCCTGTTGTGGACATTTCGCCCCAGTTGCACCAATACCACGTCGTGGTTATACCGAACCACCTGATAATCCGTCCGTTGCCATCTCGCGCCGTCCCCTTCCTTTTCCTTCCGCTTCCCCGCTGCCCCCGCTGCCCCCGCTGCCCCCGCTGCCTCCCCTGTCCCCGCTGCCCCCCCTGCCTCCCCTGCCCCCGCTGCCCCGTGCGTGCGCGCCGTGCAGTTCCACCAGTACCATGTCGTGGGGCGCATGAACCCGAGCCCCAACGACCCCACGCCCAAGATCTACCGCATGAAGCTCTGGGCCATCGACCAAGTGCGCGCCAAGAGCAAGTTCTGGTGAGCCCTATACCGCGGACAGGGCAAGTCCTGCCGGGGCTTGTACCGCGGACAGGCACGATGCTGGTTGAGGCCTACAAGTGCTGCTACCGAGTCGACCGGCGGCGCTGGTGCTCGAAGTGTTGATTGCTGGCGAGGGGCTCAAGGCGTTCTTTGCAGACGGGGCGGCTGGCGGGTGGAAGGGGCGCTGAGCGCTGAGCTAGGACTGATGGGGATGTGAGCCTGTTTGCGTACGAGCTGGCGTGTAGGCTAGAATGTGAGATCTCGATTGGCGGTTGAAGCTGACGGCGTTGGGTAGGGAGACAGAGAAGGCGGTCTACGTGGAGTCGGTCGCCGGCGTGGAGCATGGAGCCGTTGCTGGATGAGGAGGCTGGACGGGAGCAGCAGCGTTTCGCGCGAGACCTAGGGTTTTTTACCGCGTCAGGAGCATTCGTGCAGCAGCCGGCATGGTCGTTAGTCTCGTGCGTATTGGTTTTTTTAGCAACGTCCGCCGTGGATAACACGAGTTGTTTCGGATTCGGGTCGGCTTCGGCTTCCAGCGTTTCAAGTCAGCCTATGCGTGTCGCCGCTCGTTCGGGGTACCCGCTGCGTTGATTCCGCGTAGCTTTTCACGTTCCCCGCGATTCTTACGTTTCTTGCGGCCAGCCATTGCTGGGACCGTGGCTCAGTCGATGGTTTTGGAAGTGGAGGTCGGATCCCGATTTTGGTTCCAGGCACCTTATAACACGACAAGGTCTCGGAGAATTAGCTTTCCGTTTCAAGTAGATTTTATGTGCTTCCTACTTCAACGGTTTCAAGCCAATGTCCGTGTAATTCGCGAATCAGATCTGAGTGTGGTGCTGCCGTCACCCACCCATCCATCGGGAGCCTGTTGTTATGCCTTTCGCCCTCTATCCTCACCTCCTTGTGTCTCACCTCCCTCCTACCCCACACGCAGGTACTTCCTGAGCCAGCTGCGTAGAGTGAAGAAGGCCCACGGTCAAGTGCTAGCGATCAATGAGGTGCGTCGAGCTATAAGTGAGGTGGTCGAGCGATCAGGTATTTAGAGGGGTGCGGTCATGCAAGCTGAGAGATGTAGCGAGCTAAGCGATGGCCTGTCAGGTCCTGTTGGCTTTAACCATGGTAGTTTTCGGAATGAGACAACTGGGGGGGGTGATCCGGTAGCAAGGTCTGGTTGATGCTGCTGGCGGAACGGGCTGGAGGCAGGACGGGTGTAAACGAGGTGTAGGCGAGGGGGAGGAGAAGCACGCTATCAGTAACGCGCATGAGCAGCTGGGACGAAGGGTCTATGACACGCGTCGAAGGTCGTTGATAGGCGCGGATTCGCTGTATTCCTTACACTTTTCGAGAACCGGTAGGCGAACCGACTGGTTGCGACTAGTCAGACCTCCACCCAGCAGCAGACACCAGAAGCGGCAGTGTCTTAGGCGCCGAGAGGAGGGCCGTGGCCGTGCGGGAGAGTTGTTTTGAGGCGCGTCAGAATGACCGTGGCCGAGCGGGAGAGTCTTGGGGATGACGAACCATTCAAGATGACGAGTCGGAGCCGCGAGGCCGTGAAGACGAACACGAGGCATTTGTCTGAAAGACTCTCGCTCGCGAGTCGCAGTCCGTGCTCCGCGCTACGCGCTTCTAGGAAGCTTCAAGAGATAACTTCGAACCAGGACTGATCGCTTCGGGAACCGGGGGCTGAGGTGTTTTTTTCTTCTTTTTTGCGATGGTATTCTCAACGCGTTCTTAGGTGAAGGGAGGTGGATGTCTTGATGATGACGAAACTTTCAAGATGACGAGTCGTAGCCGACAGGCCCTGACGACAAACACGAGGCATTTGTCTGAAAGATACCCCTTCTTCGCTTCATAAATTCGACTGATTGTAGCAAGGTACTGTGTTGAGGTGCTATACCGGGAGCTCAGCTGTCTTGATGATGACGACACTACAGATGACGAGTCGTAGCCGATAGGCACTGACGACAAACACGAGGCATTTGTCTGAAAGACAGCGGGTTTTCTTATCCTCCCTGTTCATGGGTATTCCATCTTTGTTCTTTATCCATCTCTCTTCTATTCATTGTCCCTCCTGTTAGCACGGGTTTTGTGGTATTCCTTCAGAAGGTGTAGGGAGCTCGAATTGGTGGAGGTCTTGATGATGACGACACAATTAAGATGACGAGTCGTAGCCAATAAGCCCTGACGACAAACACGAGGCATTTGTCTGAGAGACTCCCAGGTGTTTTACTTTTCAGTCTTCAGAAAAACCCCTTTTACACCGTCCCGTTGTACGAGGGTAAACGTGTTGTAGTAAGAGGGTACACGTGTTGTAAAAGGTATTGTTGTAGCAAGAGCGTATGGATGTCTTGATGATGACGACACTACATAGATGACGAGTCGTAGCCAACGAGCTCTGACGACAAACACGAGGCATTTGTCTGAACGATATCCATTCCAGCTTATCACCGTCACTCGCCAATGAAGTTAAAAGCCGTTTTGTTCTTATTTTTTCTGATTTCCTCTTTTATCCTCTCTTTGCACCAAGGTATACTACGGTAGGGGTACTGTAGTTGGTACTGTAGCAACCTAGATTAGCAGGAGCTACGGATGTCTTGATGATGACGAAACTTACAAGATGACGAGTCGTAGCCTACAGGCTCTGACGACAAACACGAGGCATTTGTCTGAAAGATACCGGATCCTTCGTTTATCCGTCCTTCATGTTCCGAATGTTTTACATGTTAAATTGATGTCCCCCCCCCTGCTCCCCCCGTCCTTCTCCCACCCAGCCGTCCCTCCTCCCTGCATGTGATCTTCCCTACTATTGGATCCACACGCTCCATGCTACCGCTCACCCCCTTGTCTTACTCTCACCGTCCCACCATCCCCTCCTCCATCCTCCCTCTCCCTCCATGCTACTCCATCCTCCATCCCTCTATGCTACCCCTCACCCCCTTCTCCATCCTCCTCCCCCCCCCCCCCCCCCCTTCAGATCTTTGAGAAGAACCCGACGGTGGTAAAGAACTATGGCATGTGGGTGCGGTACCAGAGCCGCACGGGGTACCACAACATGTACAAGGAGTACCGCGACACCACGCTCAACGGCGCCGTGCAGCAGATGTACGACGAGATGGCGTCCCGCCACCGCGTGCGCTTCCACGGCATCCAGGTCGGTTTGATAGCTTACAAGCAAATTACTTCGTCGCAAATGATATGCTGGTAGATGGGGTGGGGTGGAGGGGTGCTGATAGGATGTGCACCAATTTGTACGCCTGTCGTTTCTCAACTGCTCAATGCCCACTGTGTCCAGTCCCTCCTTTCCTCTCACTGCTCCCTATTTCCTCTCCCTGCCCTGCCCATTTGCTCACTGCTCAGATCATCAAGACAGCGCTGGTGCCGGACGACAAGGTGAAGCGCGTCAACACCCTGCAGTTCATCGGCGACAAGATCCGCTTCCCCCTGCCCAACCGCTCCGTGCGTGCCTCGTCCCGCAGCCTCAAGACCACCTACAAGGCCTCGCGCCCCAACACATTTGTGTAAACGTGCTCGAATCTGGCGTATACATTGGATGTGTGGGGTGGGGTGGTGCTTACAAGGGTTGAGATGAGGGAGGAGGGGTATCAGTGCTCTTTGTGCTGTATTGTCTGTGCCCTTATTCTCTCATGTATGTGGCCCAGTAGTGCAACGGATGTCATTCTCTCCCGTCGTTAGCCATTAGTCCCGTTACTTACCCTGCATGGTAGCACGTAATAGCGGAAGCAACAATTTAATTCCAAACGAAGGCCTAGTACTCTACAAGTCTGTTTTGTAACGTTGACACTGTCAACTTGACAGCTCACAGAAATTCTAGATATTTGCACAGTTTTTATTTCTGAATCCTGATAACCACAGTCGAATTGTCTCGAGGAGCTTTGTAGCAGATGAACATTTCTGGAGTCAGAACTCCTTACCCGAGCGAGAAAGATTCTCAGTGGTTTCCCTTCCCACCTCAAAGCACCCCACCCTCGCCGCCTCCGCAGCACGTGAGTTACCAGCGACCGTCGTGAACCAGTTGCAAAAGAGCTCAAGATTTCGCGATCGGTTTCGTGACCTCGCCAGGGGGGTTCGGCGTGTCTCGAGCGGTCCTGCGTTCCGCCTCGTGCTTCTCTATCAACGCTTGCTTCGGTTGAGCGGAACGGCTCCAGCCAATGCCTGAAAGGCAATGCAGTACGAGAGCACTGCCAGAGGGGAATGTGACCATTTGACTTCTACCCTGTCTCCAGGCAGCAGGAAGCCCACCAGTCAGCCCGTAATTGCAAGAAAGCTCACCCCTTGCTATTACTCACAACGTCCTGCATGCCATTCTGTACGAGTTAACGACGCGCTATAGTGGCAGGCAGGTTTATTTGTTTGCGCTAGCTAGTTTCGGCTTTAATAACTCCTCTATTTTCTACAGTCGAATTCGCAGGATGTCTCGTGCTCTGTTAGATCGCCTGTCGGACGACCTCATCTGCGTCATCTTCCGTCGGCTAAGCCAGCAGTTACCCAGCAGCTTCAATCACGCCTTGGTCTGCAAACGATGGAATCGCCTTGCTTGTCTTTCGCAAACGTCCATCGCGAACAGTTCTCGTAGGCTCGCTGCAGACGTTAGCCTTCTCTGATGTCTTTCTCAATTCAAGAATCTGACGTTTCTAAAGATGGACGGGTACGAGATAGGTGCCGATGGCGAATTCTTTCTCGGCCTTGGCTCCGTCTGTCCGCGAGCTGAGCAACTCGGATGATAGGGGGTTGACATGTCATGGATTGGATGCGATCTTCACTGCCTGCACCGGACTGCAGTGTCTCTCCTTATTCATGCAAGGAGACTCGAGGTCGATACAAGATTGACAGACAGAGGTGGGGATGGGGAGGTGGTGAAGCTGACAGATTCATTCTTCTTGCGCTGCGACGCAAGTATGTGCAGCTTCGTGGTAAGTTTCTTCTGTGGGCTTTCTCTTCTTGACTGCTTACCTCACTTCGTGCCGTTGCCCTGTTTATTGACCGTGCCCGTGCCTAGTTTCTTGATGTGTAATCTTTTGTCCTTCATCCTCGTATCTTTTGTACCCTCTACCCTCTTACCCGCTGTTTCATTACCTCTCTGGCACATTCCATTGGCACGGTGTGACCCGACTGATGTTTATCTTGCATGCACTAATTCGCACTTCTGTTTGTTCTCGCCAGTTGTTGCTGCAAGCAAGTCACCGTAATCATCTCTCTCGACTTCCTCCTCCTCCCCTCCCCCTTCCCCCACCCCCTCTCCACCCGTCCAACAGGCAAACAGCCGAAAGCAACTGGAGCAATCAAGGAAACGTGTCCATCCTGACTAAGGACGAGTTTCTCAGCTCCACAGGCAAGAAATCGCCTTGGATTCTGGTTGGCAATCCTGATGCCAGTAAGAAGGGCAGGGCCTTAACAGGAGCAGCAGGAGCGTGATGGTCTGCACCTTCAGCTCCAGCAGTGCGAACAGTACCACCTGCAGATCTGCTGTGCAGATCCCTGCAATAACTGCTGCCAGCACCGAGGAATCAGTTAAGAAGAATGAAAGCAAATACCAGGCCTCACAAAAAAAGCCGTACGATACTGCAGCAGTCAGTTCTCAAGAATCAGCAAGAAACGGCACGAGCAGGCAGCAAGGTGCTCAAGACCATGCTGTTGCCTGCCGTGCTGGGAGGATCCATGAGGATGAGCTCCAACCCAAGCAGCTCAGCCGCCGTTCTCCTGCTGGGCTCTCCCCTCTGAGGAAATCGTCTGTTGCTGTTGTCCCTGTTGACGATGCTTCTGCTGCAAGTGCTTCAGCTAATTCCGAGAAAAAAAGTATGAAGGTTGGAGGAAAGAGGCGGATGACAAGGTGGGTGAGTAGAGTCTGGTCGAGCATAGCGCTGAATAAGTGGCATACTGGCAACTAAGGTAAAGCTGGTGGGGGTGCTGTGGGATGTTGATGGTAGGGGTTCACCCCCTTTTTTCCATCCTGCCTGTCAGGATGTTGTGGGAAAGATGGAAAGAATGGCGGACAGGAAAGTTGGAAATGGGATTGAATGCTACTCTGGTCTGGCGCTAGTCTGGTTTAGGCTGTAGGTGTAATGTCAATCATGTATTCACTGTATGAACGTCGTATCTTTGTTACCATGGAATCAATGAATGGCTGAGGGGATTGTGAAGGGATAGGAGTGACCGCAGATGTCAAGTGGTCAGGCCCTCAGATTGGTTTCAGAGAGGCTGATTGCTCAGGGTCGCCCATGTGAGAGCCCATGTTTTACAGGGTCGGGTTTTGGGCGTGGCATGTTTTTTTAGGCCAATATCAGAAAGAAAATGATTGAACTAGAATGTGTGTGTACAAGGATATATAGACTAGAGTGTTGTACCCTCTAAGGCACAATCCAGTATAGTCTATAGTAACAACCTAAGTTACATTTGACACACCCCCTAGACTATATAGGGGCAGTGCCTAACAAGGGAAGAAGCAGCTCAGGGCGGCACTACTAGTCCAGCCTCTGAGACAAGGGTCTAAAGACCAGTCAAAAGGAGTACAGACAAGACAAGAGCAAGCCCAGGGCGGCACTACTAGTCCAGCCACTGGGAGAGACCACAAGGCCAGTCTGGGTAAAATATATATATAAAGGACAGTACAAAGTCAAGGCCCTAGCAAGTGAGAGGCTACAGGAATGAGACCCAGCTGTACACAGTGCCGCTGATGATCTTTAGGCGCAAGCGCCTTCGTAAAGATATCAGCTGTGTTGGCACCGGAGGCCAAGTGTACTACGCGCGCCTGGCGACGCTGTTGCAACTCACGCAGGAGGAAGTACCGCAGCTGAATGTGCTTCGCTCTGCCCTCGAGTCGAGGCTCCTGACACAGAAGGATCATGATCCTGTTGTCAGCGTACAGGACCGGGGCAGAGCTAGGCTGCTCACCTAAGTCAGTGAGCAAGAAGGTCAGCCAGCGGAGCTCCTGTGCCGCCATCGCACCGGCGTAGATCTCGGCCTCACAGTTGGACTGGGCAACAGACGAGGAGCGGGTAGCTCTCCACGAGACGGCACCTGAACCAAGGCTGAAGCAGTAGCCCTATGAGGACCTGGGGGTCTCGGTGTCGTCTGCCCAAGAAGCGTCTGTGTGTCCAGTAAGGACCACTGGCCTACGTCCTCCTAGCACTAACCCCATGCCCGATGTACTTGCAAGATAACGCAAAACCCTCTTAGCGGCAGACCAATGCTGAGGTCGGTGTCTGCCTGTAGCCACAAAGCGAGCCAGGATGCTGAGAGGGTATGCGAGATCTGGGCGAGTGCAAGTCATCAGGTACATGAGGCAACCCACCAGCTCTGCGTAAGGACCACTGGGCTCTGCTGACTTCTCAGGAACTGGAGCGGAGAGCCTGTGGTCTAGAGGCAAGGGAATAGGCTGTGCGGAGGAGAACTGAAGGCCGAACCTCTGAAGGACCTGGCGCACCAAGTGTGACTGAGTCAAAGTGATGGTGCGGGCTGCTCTGTCCCTGGAGATCTGCAAGCCAAGGTAGTGGCGCAGTTCTCCAAGGTCAGTGCAGGTGTGTCTCTTCAGCAGCTCTGCCTTCACGGAGGCCAGTGCGTCTCTGTCTGCCGTGGCGAAGACCAGGTCGTCTACGTAAACAAGGATGTAGAACGGAGTCTGGCCAGCACGAACCAAGAGCGAGGGGTCTACAGAGGACGGAAAGAACTACAGGTCAGCAAGCGTAGCACGCAGCGTGTCGTGCCACTCACGGGGAGCTTGCCGCAGGCCGTAGACGAGGCGCCGGAGGAGCCATTGGGTCCCAGGAGGGAAGGTACCAGTGAAGCCCTGAGGGCGACGCAGGTAGACCTGCTCGTGTAGACTGCCCTGAAGAAACGCAGTGGAGAAGTCGAGAGAGTGAAGCTCGTAGTCACGCTGAGCAGCTAGGTGTAGTAGCACCCGAAGAGTAGTCATCTTCGGGGTCGGAGCGAAGGTCTGGAAGAAGTCCACCCCCTCACGCTGACTAAAACCTCTAGCCACGTAGCGCACCTTGAACACAGGCGGCTCTCCAGGAGGGCGCTTCACCTTGAAGAGCCAGCGGCCATCAACTACGTTCACCCCAGGTGGGGGAACTGCGTCGACGTAGGTGCTGGTGGATCTCCAAGATGCCATCTCCTGCTCCATGGCAGCTATCCACTGAGAGGCCTAGGGTCCCAAGGTCGCCTCAGCGTAAGTGCGAGGGGTCGGGATGTCGAAAGCGTCGGGGTCACCCTCAGGGACTAGAAGCATGGAACAGAGATGGGGAGCAGCCTCGGACAGGAAAGCAAGCTCGTACTGCCGGTCCTCCAGGACGTTACTGCCAAGGGCAGGAGCACCCCCGACAGACGGAGGACAGGCAGGGTCAGAGACCAGAGCGGTGGCGTAGTCAAGGCGGCGGGTAGAGGCGAAGTCAGCGACCGCAGCGACAAGGGCGTCAAGGCTCGAAACCGGAACATACGGGTCGGTAACGAGAGAGGCTAGGACCCGAGGAACAAGAGGACGAGCGGCACGCAGGTAGTCAGACAGAGGGGGGGGAGCAACGACAAGGGAGGACGGAGGGGGCGACGGGAGAAGGGGAGGACGAGACGTGTGGGAACGAAGCAACATAGGGTGAGAGCGTGAGACAGGGGAGCAGGGTCGAGCACGGGAGGGACGGCGAGACCAGACGTGAGATGGGGGAGTCAGGTCAGGAGATAGAGGAGGGGACACAGGAGGGGAACGAGGGGGGAAACGGGCCGGAGTCGCGTCCGGAGAAGGGAATACAAGGCTGGAGACAGGAGGAGGAGAAGGCACGGGCACGGGGTCAGGGGACGGAAGGCCGAGCAGGCGAAGAGTGGATACCGGCGGGGA